GTCTCATTTCAAATGGCCACTTCGACTTGGGATCCTTCCCTTGTGAGAAGAACGTGGAATGCATAATCGAATACTTGATCTTACGAACCTACCCGCTCTCACAGGTAGCCCTGCAAAGACTCCAGACACTTTGGACTATTTCAAAGGAACTATACCTTAGGATCTAGAACAAAGCCGTCGTGATGAGGTGGGCGCATCATCCTGTCAACCACGGGAGGGTGTATTTCATGTTCTATAAAGCGAGTGACCCTCAATCGTTTCGCATCAGAAAAAAAAACAAAAAACGCATAAAATAACATTTTATGATTTGATCTCGAAAGACTTGCTAGAGTAGTGTACCCTGCGCACAAAAACTGCTGCCACATCGGAGGGATCCACTTACATTCAAAACTTAAAAGCTTTCAGTAAACGTTCGCTCGATTAATCCAATGAGTTGTGTTTACTACAGAGTAAGTGATTTGTCCTCACCGATGGGTCTACTACGAGGTACAGAAGATGCATGAAATGCTTTATTGTCTAGGCGGTATTCAGGTTGCGTAGTGTATTACAAGCCCATGCGTGCGGCAGTTGCTTCACTGGTTCGCCTTTGCTAGCTCCAGCTCATTTTTAAATCGTGAAAACAAAATTATTTTAAATACTTCAAAATTAAAATGCGCGAAATCACGTGCCATCGGGACGATCGGAGTGTGATCCTTGCGTTATATCAATTGGTTCCCTTGGTTCCTTCGAATGACCTATGCAATCGCAGATATCTGGCAAAGGAGAGAGCGCAAAAATCTTGCGAAGCATCCAAGAAGTCTTCTCACCGCTCACTTCTAACATTAGTGAAAGAGATAGCAGGTAATTGCTTTTCATGGCTACTTCCTGATAGAAGGAAACACTTATCGATAGAAAGATACTTCTACGGATTGATTTCAGATGGAGAGAATGTTTTGTCAATCCTTCTCAACCGGATAGGAACACATTTTGGTCGATCGTATTGATGTTTGTTGCGGCAGTGTTTCTTTGTCGATTCCAGGTCTTCTACTGTCTTCTACTTCACTTTGACATCGATGACCGTGAGCTTGAAGGGTCATTTCACCTAGCAACTAGCTTTATTCCATTGTACTGCAAAATTTGAGTATTTTTAAATCCGGGTCACGGATAGTATTGCGAAAAACGTGGCAATAAATTACGGCGTGAATAGAAATAACAACACAGTAGTTCCACAGGGTTGGTGAGAAGAACATCTTAGGCCATTGGATTACAACCGCTACCCAGCAATCACGATTCCCTCTGCTTTGATATCATTCTTGGCAAAACTTATTCGACCGCTAATAATATTGGATTCTTATCAATGATGTATCCGTAAAGAAAAGGAGCTACAACTTCAAAAACATTTGATAATCTGTACTGTAGCTCAGCGAAATGCGAAATAACCTACGAAAAAAGGGGAAAGATTTTCATTAATTTGATGTTTTCCGGGCGAATTATAAATGAAGATTAAAAATTTCTAGACAGCTCAGGTGTGGATGTCACGACAAACATTGGTGTTGGCTGAATATCTCTTTCCGGATCGTGTGAGGCCGAGAGCTTTAACATTGTACAACCGGATACTCCAGGAGAGAAAGAATGTGCTCGGTGCAATGATGAATGAACAGAAGGTAAAATTTTTAAGTAACAATGATAATGGTCTGTTCTTCTCCTGAGCCTCGACAAGATGTTACAATATTTATGCGGCTAACGTTCCGGCTAGTCGCCGTCGTCGGAGCCTGGAGGCCTTTTTCAGATTCATCCTGGTCAAACGACGTTTAGACATCAGCTCAGTTCATGTGTGGCCTATAGACATCTAGAGAGGTCTTGCAAGGTACAATGGGTAACCCACCTTGAATGACCAAAAGAAAACCGTCGATCCTCGATTTCAGGTGGCGTATGACACATTTGACTCAATAAACTTGGGCAGTCTTCCTCCCTGCTCGTGCCACTCCGTTCCGAAAGAGGCCATTTTATGGTGATTATCAACCCACCTCGACAAACGTGTAGTATTAATTATTAGGAAAGAAGGTGCTACAGGGAACAAAATCGCCATGTCGGGTGACAGTGGGGCATTTCTGAGTGTTTAAAATGAAATAGCTGCAAAAGAACGCTCCAATACAGAGTGTGCCTTTGAAAGCACAAAATAAATTGATATAAAGTTCAAATAGACGTGTTAGTAGTCAGTTTCAAACCCGATGAAGGAAAACAGAAGGAATAGCCCGAAACCAGCGGAATAATGTAGCCCTTCCCAAAACTGATTCTGGGTTTCAGATGAATTCATCGTCGCCTTAAAGAGAATTTCAGAAGCAACTAGCCGACGACCAAGTGGCCGGTCGAGAGACGATTGTTCGTCGCGGAATGCAATCAAGAGGATACATCATGGTGAACTGCAGCCTGTGTAGCGCACAGGACCTCCGAGTCGCAGATGAATCGTTAGTATCACTATCTGATTTTTTTTTAGTGTTCATAACATCAGTTTATGTGAGAGGGATCTATCAATTCTTTTTGCATGGTTACCAATGAGCACATGATTGGGTCGTCAACTTTTAAGTATAAGTTTGATATCGTTATGAGCCTCTGTTGCCCTTTCCTGCCTGTTTCTGGAGCAGTAGTCGTAAAAGGGTAGGGGTAAGGGAAATGTGATCCAAGTGTGATGTAATAAATTTGAAAGGTACTAGATTTTGATTGAAAAATACCTGTCGAGTAAATTACTACAGACACTTGAATGGTATTTCTCCACTGAATAAACTGAGGAACGGAGGCATGGCCACCAGGCTCGACCTTTGGGTGGCCAATCAGCTCTCCTTGACCCCGCCAACTGAGCGAAGAAGGATTCAGTGATTTGCTCAAAAGATATCATAAGAGAGCCCTTCTCATATGCACGATTTTTGCCTTTTTTGATTTCCTTTTTCTATTTTTTTTTCAGCCGAATCTATCTGTTACTGTGAAATTTTTTCATTAGAAGACTTTTCCAGGAACACACGCCTTTGCGTCTCATGTGGGGCATACTATTGTATTCAGTGCTTCTGTTTGCGCAGATATTGTAAAGAATGTGAGAACGATATGCAAATTGTCGATCGGGTTGAACTCTACTACGAGGACCTCACTGACGATGAAGAGTCGGAAGAAGACGAAAAAGAAGCAGATGAGGGTGAGTGGAAGGAAGTATTGGGGGAAGGTACGAGAACAGCCAAACTTGTAGCGTTCGCTCTGGGCATCTGAACAGGCAAACGAATGTAAGCCAAAGCGACGGGAAGTAACTGCAGGAAAGCTTCGACCAATGACATGCACTGTTCACGACAACCATATCTCACCGTTGTTGAACACACCCAGCGTGTCCAACAGCGCCTGACGGTCTAATGGACTCGCCTTAATTGTTCTATTCAGAATTCGACCAAATCATGCCTTTTTTGGGCAATATACAACGATACAAAATTGGACCCAATATTCCATTGGAACAGACATAAACGGGACATACCAGTAGATCGACGTGGTTACGAGGCTTTTTTCCATCAATCGGTCATTTCAGATCGCTCCATGTTTTAAATGAGGCCGAACTCAAAGTGAGTTGATTGATTTGGTGGCTCGAAGAAGCACTGTATTTACTGCATCTTTACTAATTTTTCTTCAGCAACTGGTGTCCAAGATTACTTTAAAAGAAGACAGACTCAGATTTTAATTCGCACTACATTCAAGTGATAGTCAACTTAATGAATGAATTATTTTCGTTTGCTGCTACTACATCGATGAATGTCAATCAATGATTTCTTATTGAACTACGCATTTAACACCAACTGATTGCCCCGGTCTCATTCCTTACTCTTACAAAGTGGTAGAAAATGTAGTTGAAGGGAGGAAAGGGAGGAGGGGTTGGGGGATGAAGAGGAAGGGAAGG